ATATGGGATGCTGGGAATTGAACCCGGGTTGACTGCGTGCAAGGCAAACGCCCTACCCTCTGTGCTATCTTTTCCATTGTTGTTGACATTTTAGAAGTGGTGTTAGCCTAGAATTAGGATTTTTGACTTTTTTAAAACTATGTTTCAGAGTATGACCGTGTGGCTGAGAAGGCTGGTAAGGTTGAAGCTGAAGTGAAGAGGCTGCATGACCTCATCATAGAGATCAATAACCATAAGCTCAAGGCCCAGCAAGACAAGCTTGATAAAATAAATAAGCAACTGGATGAATGTGCTTCTGCCATTACGAAAGCCCAAGTAGCGATCAAGACTGCAGACAGGTAGAGTATGTGCGTCCATGGCCAGTGTGTCCACTCTGCAGCACCGCCTGCCTCCCACGAAAATCCCTTAACCGTCTCCTCCCCGCAAGCTAGAGAAATGAAACTGCTTCTGTTCTGTGACCATGTCGGCACAGCCTATAAGCTTTTACAGGAATTCTTACCAAGTTGTACTGAGCTTAATAACATACAGGTATCCTGCATGTGTATATATGAACATAAAGACAGTGTAAATATGGTCTATAAGTTTAGTCTTGGTAGCAAAAGGTATCATTGAGGCCCTGGGAAGTTATTTGGGAGGTTTACAGAAACTGGAACTCTTACAATTTCAATGTTACTGTTTTGTTTTAGAAATCTTAAGAAAGCAGAAGATACTGAGTTTCGCACAAAGAAAGAAATAAAAGATACTGAGAAAGAAGTGAATGACTTAATAGCAGAACTGAAAGGCTTGGAGAACAGAGCGGCAGAAGTCGTACAGAACACAAACGCGGCGGAGGTGAGCCCGGGAGGAGGCGCAGTGGGCTGCCTCATCCAGTCAGGGCGGACCAGACCGCCTGTGGGCCCGGGGCTTCTGTATGCAGTGGGCCTTGGGCCGCAGCCAGCAGAGCCAGGGGGCTTGGGGCCCAGTCCATCTCCCAAGCCCCAAATGTTTGCCAACTGTCAGGAAGGAGAAGGTGCTAGGTTTGTCTTTGTGCTGTCACTGCTGTGACCGGGCAGAGGCCTCACCTGTGTCCGTTCTTGGTTTCCAGGAATCTTTACCAGAGATCCAGAAAGAACACCGGACTCTACTTCAAGAACTGAAACTGATTCAAGAAAGTGAGCATGCTCTCCAAAAAGATGCACTTGGCATTAAGTTGAAACTTGAACAAATAGATGGCCATATTGCTGAACATAACTCTAAAATAAAATATTGGCAAAAAGAGGTGAGTTGCTACATTTTAAAATATTGTTTATGGGGGCTGGAGAGATAGTACAGTGAGTAGGGCGTTTGCCTTGCACGCGGCTGACCCAGGTTTGATTCCCAGCATCCCATATGGTCCCCTGAGCACCGCCAGGAGTAACCCCTCTGCATCACCGGGTGTGACCCAAAAAGCAAAAAAATATATATATATAGTTATGAAAAAGGGTTGGTGTTTTAGTTTTGAGCCATGTTGTGATTTTTCAGTCCATGATGCCACTTTTCAAGTGTCTAAGGTATACCAAATTAACTCTACAGACAGTGGTTAGAATTAATCCCTATTTCCAGGCTCACTTGAGAGTTAACAAAGAACTACATCAGCACATGGACACACTGCAGTGTTTTTTAAGTTCTGTGATAGTAGTGGATAAATAAGTCAACTCTTCATGTTATTTTGATAGTCAGAATTTTTTTTATTATATTTTATTATATTTTTTTTATTATATGGAGTGATAGTACAGCAGGGAGGGTGTTTGCTTTGCATGCAGCTGACCAGAGTTCAATCTTTGGCATCCCCCAAGCGCTGCCAGGAGTAATTCCTAAAAGCAGAGTCAGAAGTAACCTCTGAGCATCACCAGGTGTGACCCCAGAAAAGAAAAAGAAAAAATCCTGATTATAGACAACTAATTTTAATACTTTGCTTTAGATTTCAAAAATATCATTGCATCACATTGAAGGTAATCCTGTCAGAGAAATTCCAGTTCTAAGCCCAGAGGACCTTGAAGCCATCAAGAACCCAGATTCAATAACAAGTCAGATCGCACTTTTGGAAGCCCAGTGCCATGAAATGAAGCCAAACATCGGTGCCATTGCAGAATATAAGAAGAAGGTGGGGGAACGAGGGTGCACTGTGCTCCATTGACAGCCTGAAGTGCCTGTAACTGATGTATAGGAAGAAGGGAGGGGGGCGTGTGGGGGGTGCCTCTAAGAGTATCTTGCTGAAGGTGCTTTTCTCATGAAAACACTTTTTTCACAGGAAGAATTATATTTACAACGGGTAGCTGAATTGGACCAAATTACTTCTGAGAGAGATAATTTCAGACAGGCGTATGAAGATCTTCGGAAGCAGAGGCTTAATGAATTCATGGCAGGCTTTTCTATAATAACGAACAAATTAAAGGAGAATTACCAGATGCTTACTCAGGGGGGCGATGCTGAGCTGGAACTGGTGGACAGTCTGGACCCTTTCTCAGAAGGAATCATGTTCAGGTTCGTGGGTGGCAGTTGATAATAGTGTTGGAGCGCGTGCTGGATATCTAATTTTACACTTCGAGTGATTTTCGTTTTTGGTCTTTGGGCTATCCCAGGGAGTGCGCACATGATCAATGATCACTCCTAGTAGGCTCTGGGAACCAAACCCAGTCAGCTGCATGTATGGCGTGTGCCTTGCCTGCTGTACTGTTGCCCTAGCCCTAAATTGAGTCACTTGAACATGAAGATTTTTAAATCGCAAAGTGTGAGGGCCAGAGAGACATCTGCAGTTGAGCACATGCAGCCTCGGTTGGATCCCTGGTACTCTAGAGCTCCCAAGCCAAGGAGACGGTTCATGGTTCAAGAACATGCCAAGGTGCCTCTTTGATCCCTGGCATATCTTCTCTTCTTCCCCCCCCCCCCCACTCCGTGTAGCCTGAGGGCTTTTAGCGATGCATTGACCCCTGAGGGAGCTCTGCTCACCGCTTGTACCACCAACACTGAGAATGACCCAGGGCCCCTAAAAACACAAGTCAGAATTCTTTGGAAATAGAGGCTGGAGGGCTTGGACTCGAAGTACTTAACCTGTGTGCTACAGTTTGGAGGATGGTCCCTGTGTCTTCATCTTTTGAAAGTGACTTTATGAAATTATTCCCCAAAAGTTCAGATTTGTGAAACACAAATATTAATGGTAGTAGAAACCAGGACAGCCAGTCTTAAGTCCTAACTTCAGCTTTTCAAGTCATTTGACTTATAACAATTGATATTCCTAATTTCAGTGTTCGGCCACCCAAGAAAAGTTGGAAGAAGATCTTTAACCTTTCAGGAGGAGAAAAAACACTGAGTTCGTTGGCATTAGTATTTGCTCTTCACCATTACAAACCCACACCCCTGTACTTCATGGATGAGATTGATGCTGCCCTTGATTTTAAAAATGTGTCCATTGTTGCATTTTATATATATGTAAGTAATCCTTTGGGTTTCCACTGGGGAGGTGGGCCAAGAGATATCAGGAGACCAAGTCCTTTATCTGAACCAAATATTTCCATGTGGGACAAGTGAAATATAAATAAATAGCAGAAATTTGGATTTTAGATTTTCTGCCCTGATCTTTTTTTCCACTACAAGACTTGGCAAAATGCTTCCACATTTATGTTCCTTGATGGTGTGATCCTTATTCCTAGGGCTGGAGTAGGACTCCAGGGCAGAATGCCAGCGGGTTCCATCCCCAGAATCTCAGCCCCTCCCCACCTCCCAAAAATTTACCAGAAGGGAAGGAGAAAGTGTTAGTGTTACTTGTTAGTAATGTTTCTACTTCTCTTTCTCTTTAGGAACAAACAAAAAATGCTCAATTCATCATAATTTCTCTTCGCAATAACATGTTTGAAATTTCAGATAGACTTATTGGGATTTACAAGACGTACAATATAACAAAAAGTGTTGCAGTAAACCCCAAAGAAATTGCATCTAAAGGACTCTGTTGATACCTCAAATTGAATCTGCATCGGTTCAATGTATTACTGATTTTCTATTGTAAATAATTAGAAATTGTATCATATATATTCATATCCTGGCTTTTATGTAATAGTGTGTGCCTGCTGCTTCTCGGAGTGTAAGAATCAGATGATTTTGTAAACTGCAGGTTGGAGGGGGAAATGTCTGAGCGGTCAGGTGCCTTTACCTTAGTCCCAGATCAGTCTCTGGTTCCACTAGATGATGTCAAGGCTCAGCGTATCCTTGTGGCCCTTTGGAAGTGGCCTCCGGTTACTCTGGTTCAGCCTTAGGTTACCAGTGTAACAATCACTAATCCCAAATATCAAGGAATTTTGTTTTAAACTTCGATTTGAATTTTAAAAGATGAGAATTAATGTCATATGTTTTTCTATATATAGCTTGTTATACTTAGAAAACTTGTTTGGAGAGGCCAATAAACTAATAGTGTTTGAACATAATTTTTAAATAAAAATATATCCCAACTAAGTATGTCAGTTGTCTTTCTTACTACATAGCAGTAGTGTTTGCCTTGCATATGTGAGGCCCGAGTTTAAATTCCAGACATGCAAAAGAAAAAAAATGAAGTGATTTGCGTCTATGACAGTATTAGGGTTTGTTGGGGCTCTTTTTTAGATAGTGGTCCCTAGAGACTAAAATTTACTTGTTACTCAGTAAACCGGGTTATGAAAGTGCAGATAGTTTCCTTCTGTACATTCCTGCCCAGCATATAATACGACAGGTATGGCAGCTGACCCATGATTGATCCCCAGCAGCCCATATAATTCCCTGAGCATTGCCAGGTGTGGCCCAAAGGACATTAAATTATTGGTACTTGAGTATCAACACAAGGGAATATTTAGCAGAAAAATCACAGAAATATAGTTAAAAGATGCATTCTAAATGTGATGAATAAGTCAATGCTTTCTAAGGATACATGTTTTGAACATTTTTAATTTAAGAACTAGTATAGTACATCTGTAGAAGTCAAATTCTAAAATTTACACAAACCAGAACAGTGAAAAGTGTAAGAAAATGTTATTCCCTGAAATGTCATTTCAAAAAGCATTAACTTTATTAGGAACAAATGGTGCTAGAAGCTCTTACATCTAAGAATACATTAACCTGTGGATCAGAAATACCTGATCAAAAGCATCTTTAATGTGAACAACTCCCCATCGCTTTTGAGGCTTTACTGGCCATCCTTATCCTATTCAGAAGCTTCAAACCACATGCAAATAAAGGCACCTGCACTTGGAGAATTTTGCCATCTGAAGTATACAGAAAGAACCGCAAAGCTACAACTACAGTGCTTAAGAATGGTAAAAGACAATCTTGGTTTAAGTCTGGAATTACACTGATGCCAGCAAGTGCCACCCATGGTTCACACTTAAAGGTGCACTGCACACAAAGCACAGTGCTGGCATCAGTGTTCCAAATGTCCCAGCAATCCTGAGTCCAACTCATGCCGATAAATGGATTGATAGATTAGCATTTACATAATACGTAGATTCTAAAGTTTTTAAGCTGAAACGAGACTGTTTAACATTTCTATCTAACAGGAGCTGAAAAGCTTAACATGTGTTGCCACTAAAATAAGGCTTAGTTTGCTAATTTATTTGTGCTATACCCATTTCTCCTCTTAGCAATGGTTCATCGCAGTTGCACAGAACAAGCCTATTCAACTAGTCAGATTTGAATTCTCAACGAGAAACTAGCTTCCACATGAATTCCTTCAGTAAATATAAAATGTGACACAATATATTCTTTAAATCATACAGGCCGTTAGATAAGCTTTGGTAAAAACATGAAGAGACTTCAGAGAAATAGACTAAAGTGATTTCATATAAAAGAGTTATTATGTGCTGGTTAAGAAAGAGGATTGACATCAGTATCACTGAAATCAGTGTGACAATAACAACATTGAGGATCTTATAGAGTTCAACTTCGTTTTCATCCTTCTTGGCCCTGGCACATGGCATCCTTTTAGAAGAAATTCTCATTTCAGGGACAACAAGTTTCTTTATTTGTCCAATTTCTGTTCTGTTCCAATCTTCCTTCAGTACCTGGCTGGCTCGAGGGCAGATCAAGACAGGCAGAACCTCAGGCAGGGGTTTTTGCTTCAACGTCTGCACCCGCTGGCGAAGGTCATCCACTTTCTCCAGAAACTCAAGTGGAGGCTCCTCTTGTAAAGATGTTGTCAGGGTCACTAACTCAAGCTGCTGCTCTCTCAATTCTTTCATCCTTTCGATGTGTGGTGTGTATTCTCGACTAATCCGATTGCCAACGTCACAGAGGGCAGTGAGGAAAAGTTTTTTTTTCTGTTCTAATACATCACTAAGCTCCTTGAAATACTGGAGAACCACCTCCTTATCAGCTTGGACCATCCTCTCTGAATTCAACTTTTGTCCTTCTAGCTTTTCAATCAGATGACCAAGGTCAGTCCAGTGAGTGTCAGTTAACTGCTGCAGCAGCTTCTGAGGTGTTTCCTTTTCCTTGAGATAGGCACTCTGAAGGTCATCGATAGGGTGGCCGTGATGCTGACCTATGGTGAGGCAATGCCCACAGACTAACTTCTTATCCAGCAGACAGTAAACATTTAATGGCTGCATGTGATGCTCAGGGCAGGTGGCAATATCCGGGTGATCTTCTTGCTGGTACTTTTCAATAATCGCCCTTAACGCAAAGTTAACAGGTAGCGAGTCTATGCCGTTGGGAGCAATTTCAATCATGCTTCTGCAGTTAGGGCACTTGAGTGGGATCCGCAGAGGTCTCCATATGTAAAAGTTACTCGATGCCTGAAGAACGCTCTCTAAGCAAGATCTACAGAAGGTGTGAGAGCATGGCAGGACACGAGGGTCTTCAAAGATACTGTAACAAATGGGGCATGTTAACTCATCCTCAAAATTGTGCATTTCCTGTTAAGAGAGAAAAACTTCATGTTGCTTATGTATAACAAAAATGTCCATGTTATGTCGAGTTTTCCGAGTTTGCTCAGGGGTTACTCCTGGTTCTGCCCTCAGAAGTGCACTCCGGGCAGTGCTCAGGCACCATATGGCATACCAGGCATCAGCCACATGCAAAGCAAGCTTTCTACCCACTGTACAGCCCTGTATCCAGCCCTGTAAACTAATTGTTGATACACGTGTGGCCCAAAGCCAAAAATAAATTAGAAATTTAAAAATAAACTAATTATTGGTAGGCAGTGAGTGAAATGAAAATATTCTGGTTTGCTCTTCAAGCCTGTGTTCTCTCTGGAACACCCATCTCACTTGCCTTGATTTTTTACTTAACCTATTTCCATTCTGGAGAAGCCTAGATTCTCTCGAACATGTACTTCTCTTTCCCCTCACACCTACCTTGCTTCACCAAAATAAGAAAGTATTTATTCTAATTTTTAAATGTAGCTTTCTTAGAAATGCAATCCTGAATTTACTAATTCATCTTTTTTTTTTCTTTCTGGGTCACACCAGCAATGCACAGGGGTAATTACTCCTGGCTCTACACTCAGAAATTACCCCTGGCGGTGCTCAGGGAACCATATGGGTTGCTGGGAATCGAACCCGGGTCGGCCGCGTGCAAGGCAAACGCCCTACCTGCTGTGCTTTTTCTCCAGCCCCAAACTGATCATTTTTAAATGTTCTTAAAGTCAGTTTAATGATTATAACTTTTCTGTGTCCTAAGATGCTAACATTAGAACTGCACATCTAATAGGCAAGATTAAAAATACAGACATAGCAAAATGATACTTCAATCCAAGAGAATTAATGCTCCAATTGATTCCAAAAGTTTCTCTGGTAACTGTTGCTTGGGGAACCATATGGAATGCCGGGGATCAAATCCAGGTCAGTCGTGTGCAAGGCAAAAACTCTGCCTACTGTACTCTCCCACCTCAGTCACCATTTTTAAGACTTGCTCAGTCCTAATAAACAATCAAGTTACATCACTATTGAAGAATCATAGGAAGATAAAGGGGGTTGGGACAGAAGTACAGTGGTAAGGTACTGGATGGTACCCCAAGCCTGCTAGGAGTGATACCTGACCAAAGCCAAGTTTGGCCCAAACACCAAGAATGCAAAAAGCACCACATGGCCCCCATAACTGGGTGGAACCTTCCAAGGTCCCCAGGGGTATTGTCAGTGGCACTAGTGACCCCTTAGCACAGTGGTCTGACCCCTACTTGGGACATGATTCAGAAAAAAATGGAGCCACTCATGATCTAAAGGTTAACCAATTATTCCTCCAGATTTTAAGATTAGGGAGAGAGACATAGCAGGTAGGGTGCTTGTCTTGCACATGACCACCTGGGTTCGATCCCTGGCCTCCCCATAAGGTCCCTGGAGACAACCAAGAGTGATTCTGAATGCAGAGCCAAGGGCTAACCCCTGAGTATTGCTGGGTGTGCCCCCCACCACAGTCCCCACATTCCCGGTCAAAAAAAAAAATTCTTAAGATTAAAAGAGAAAACATCTGAGGCTGGAGCAATAGCACAGCGGGTAGGGCGTTTGCCTTGCACGCAGCCAACCCGAGTTCGATTCCCAGCATCCCATAGGGTCCCCTGAGCACCGCCAGGGGTAATTCCTGAGCGCAGAGCCAGGAGGAACCCCTGTGCATTGTCGGGTGTGACCCAAAAAGAAAAAAAATCTACATATAACTGCATTTTTATTGCACATTAAAAAAAAAGGAAAAAAACCTAGTCTTTTTATCTGCTTCTCTTCATTTGTGAGACAAAATTCTTATTCTGGTCTTAGCTTGAGCTTCACAGATCACTCAGCTTGATTTAAAAGAATTTTGTTGCGCTGGAGTGAGCACAGCGGGTAGGGTGTTTGCCTTGCACATGACCAACCCGGGTGCGATTCCCAGCATCCCATATGGTCCCCTGAGCACCGCCAGGAGTAATTCCTGAGTGCAGAGCCAGGAGTAAACCCTGTGCACTGCTGAGTGTGACCCAAAAAAAAGCAAAAATATGAAAATTAAAAGGATTTTGTCAACACTTTCTACATATTACAACTTATCTAAGCTCAGGCCTTCACACTTGGTAAGCATTCCCTCAAAACTGGTTGGGTAAATGGCAGTTTCCTATATTGGATTTTTTTTTCTGTGATCAGTGACAGTTTCTGGTTAGAAAAAAAAACTGTTAATACTACAAGATTCTATATATAACATTACTCAGAATCCAAAAATGTGTCACTTAGTAAGTGTGAACCATGAAGCATTCCAGGAAACTGAAGTAAGTGGGCAAGACTACAGATGAAGTCAAGTAAACGCATGTGAAAACAACACTACCTCACACCTACAGCAAGAACTGGAATCTCACCCAAAGCCATCCAAGAAAAACATTCTCCTCAATGTATTTCAGTGACATCAGAATTCATCAGGAAGGACTTGACACGAACAACTGACACGATTTGAGGAACACACACAGTTTAATAACACAGCTATTTTATCAATCAGTCCAAAGCAATCCAACCAAAATCCTCAGGGGGGGAAAAACTAAAAACCCTAGAAAACAGATGTAAGAACCCATTTAGGAACCCTGTAAAACGTAATATGTTTTAGAACTCTAGGATAACACTGTGGCAAAATGTCACCTCCTGAGCAAAGCAAACACCACTCTCTCTGCAGTTACTTCCATAATATGAAATCTTGTAAATAAAATTTAATCAGAAACGTATGGGTGATAAATTCTAGTCTCAAGACTACCCCTGACTGATGCTAAGTAACACACCCACGAGGAGTCAGAAGTGCCCAAGAGAAAAACCTCACTGAAAATAACTTTCTAAAGACAGGATCTTGGTTGCTGCCTGAGAGAAACAAGATACAAGCAGTTACACCTTCTCAAAGAAGCAAATTCTTTGAGAAAATGTTTTACAGAGAATATTCTGTAACCAGTGTAGGCCCTTGAGAAAAGGAGCCAAAAAAAAAAAAAAAATCTACCAATGTAGTTTTGTAGGACAACTACCTTAGATTTAGTTAGCTGTGTGTATATAACCACACCAAAAACAAGAAGGAAGAAAAGAACGATGTGCTGAGGATGTAGCTCAGCAAAAGAAAGCACTTAGGTGTGTGATGTCTTGGGTTTGATCCCTGTCAATGTACAAGGGGGGGAAAATGTCTCATTGGCCTTTTCTGAAAGAACCGCTGCAGGGAGTGAGAGAATAGAATTCTTACTGGGATAATGGTGAGAGTTAGTTCAGGACAACTACACAGCCAGGCAAGAGAACAAATAGTCTGGAGGAAGATAATAGATCTACAAGGACTGTCTACCTGGAACTAAAAGATTGTGGCACGTTGGAATACATTGAGAGTAACGAGAAAACTAAACTTAGGAGAAAGGGATAGGATACTGCATCATGGAAAAGCAGATTAGATGGCACAGTTGTCATTTTAGTCACAATTTTACCAAGATTAAATACTGATTTCACCAAAAAGACTTCCGGATAAATGGAATAATTGTCTCTCCACAGAGGTCATGCTGAAATTCTCACCCTGAAATCAGAATCCTGTGATCTGAATGGCATGAGAATGGGAACTAGGAAGGGAACTCGGTCATGAACAAGGAGCCCTCAGAAATGAGATTAGCACTGGACTGGAGAGACAGCAGAATGGGGAGGGTGTTTGCCTTCACAAAGAAACAGGGGTTTGATCTCTGGCATCCCATATGGTTTCCGAGCACCTCCAGGAGTGATTTTCGAGTGCAAAGCTAATAGCAATCCCCAGGCGCTGCTGGGTGAGCCCCCCCCCCCAAAAAAAACCCCAAACAAACAAACAACAACAAACTGGGGGCGGGGAAAGAAAAGAAATGGGATTAGTGCTCTACAACAGCTGATGTGGCACAGTGATCTGCAGCACGGTCTTGCAAGACTTCTATCATGTGCCTATCTACGCACTGTTCCACGTGCTCCTGGCCAATGCTGCTATCATCCTTAGCACGAGACATCTCCAGTCACATCTCTAGTCAGCTGAGATTCCCGGAAAGATGTGTGAGCAGCAGGGCCAGAAAGTGCGACCCCCCAGTGAGAACGAATGCAAGACAACCGGGAGACCAAAGTTCAGTAAGCACCGCAGGTCTGCACCAGCACCGAACCCAAGACCGGAACCCCCACCAAGCACCACGGTGGGAAATGGGCGAGCACCAGCCAGGCAAGTGTGCAAAACCCATCATCACAACAAGAACCTCAGCCACTACGACAGAGAAGCGGCGGCAGGGGATGCGTCAAGAAGGAACACGAGGGCTTGATCCCACTTCACCTCCACTTCACACTGAGACAGTCAGACGGCAGCCGGCGGTAAACCAGGCCAAGCTCACCAGACACGTGAGTCTGGCGTCCCGACCGTGGACTCTCGGGCTACCTACCTGTGCGAGGGAAATGGGTGTTGAGTCCTTGGTTACAGTAATCCAAACTAAGGAGAGAGCAAAACTAAGCTGTGTGAAGTAAGAAAGGAAGGTAACCATGTTTAAGAGGCAAAACTTCACCTTCCTTTTAGAGACCCATACTTATCTAAGGTGAAAATACTAAGAAATCAAAAATTACAAGCTGATGGTATAGAAACAGAGAGGCAAATGCCAAAAGAAACAGCAACCAGAAATGCAAGTGACTACTTCTGGGGAACATGAACCAGGAACAGGGAGGAAGGGACAGAGGCTGTGTTACTTCAACCCTGGACGTGCATGGAAATTACAAGAACTATCAGCCCTACAGAATACAGAAAGAAAGTACTGAAGAAAGAAAATCAAAACCAAAACAATGCCCAAGTTCATGGGGCCGGAGCTATAGTACAGTGGGTAGATTGCCTGCCTTGCACGCAAGAGAACTGGGTTAGGCCCGGTCCATCCCAAGCGGTCCCTTGTACACCACCAGGATTGATCCCTGAGCGCAGAGCTAGGAGTAAGCCCTGAGCACCACCAGGTGCCATCCCACCCCTGCATAAAAGAGATGAAATCTGTCTTATCCATTCCTCACCCCCAAATCTGGGGGTCCATGTAGCTGCTCTCACCAGAAAGTACCAGGGACTGTGGCAGTTCTGGGATGAGCCCTCAGCCAGGAAAGAGAGAGACTTACTATTTTAAGCTGCTACATTTTTGGGGTCTTTTGTTAAGAAGTGATAAGATTAATCTGCTACCCTAATCCAGAAAAGAAAGGAAGAAGAAATAAATGTACTGTTACTGGAAAAAGTCATAAACCAAAAATGCCACAATTATAGAGTAACTCACACAAGTAAGCTATTATATTTCAGATGTACAATAAACAAACCATTCCCATGGCTAGAGAGAGCACAGTGAGTAGGGCACTTGCCTTCCACACAGCTGACTGGCTTCAACCCCTGGCACCTCATGTGGTCCCCGGAGCACTGCCAGGAGCGATCCCTGAGCATTGAGCCTGCAGTAAGCCCTGACACGGTGTGGTCCCAAAACCAAAATTATAAAATAATGAATTCTGTGATGGTTACATAAAAATGGAAATATGTGCCTAATGCTACTTATGTGTACACTTAAAAACGACTGGGCCAGGGATATGGCCCAGTGGTAAAGTGTGCATCTCACAAGCAGAGACCAGGGTTCAATTCCTGACCATACAGAGAAAAGGGAAGAAAATGTTAAAATGGGGCCAGAGATAGTACAGGTCTGAAGGTGACTGCCTGTATGCTGTGACCCAAGTTCAATCCCTGGCACTGTACAGTGTCACAGCACCACCAAAAGTAACCCCTAAGCACAGAGCCAGAAGCTAAGTGTGCCCCCAAACAAAAATCAAAGGATCAATTTTATTTCATACTTTAAAGCAATGCAACTTGAAAATGTTGTAAGCACTTAGCAGGTAAAGCACTGTCTTGCACTCCACTGACCCTGGGTCGATCCCAGGACCACAGATGGTTCCTCAAGCACCCCCAAGTCACTCGTGATCACAGAGCCAGAAATACCACCCATTTCCCCCCAGAGTACCACTGGGTATGCCCATCCTGCAAAACGCCCAAATGTTATGCGAATTCAATTAAAAAGCTATAATACTCTAGTCTTTCCTCTGTAAAATGAATTTGACTCAAATTGTATTTTGGGACTGGGGGGGCCGGGAAGTCACTCTGGATCACCTACCTATGAATCTCATGAACATTTTGGGGTTTAAGTGTCAAAACACTCTTCTGGATGTCTAAACTTGTCAATATTCAGGGGATCCTTTCTTCCTGGGAGAACCATCTAACTGATAGACTACACACAGTCAGCCCAGGGACAGAGAATCACCGTAGAACCGAAACATCGCTACCCATTCTCCTACACTAATTACTCTTTACCTCTTAATTCACTAGTGCGTTATTGCCTTTCATCTCTAAACATGAATGCCTATAAAACATGTATTACTTTTTACAACGTCTGAAGAGAAATTATGTTGACCACATTACAGAGTTTCATGACTTGCTCTTGGACTTGCTGTGTGAGTCGGCTCTGAGTCTGGGAAAACTCGGGGGCGCTACCGCCCAATACGCTTGTGAGCTTCCACTGATGAAAGAACCCTGCATGCACTTCACAACTAATTTTAGAGAAACGACAGTTGTGCCACCTCTCCAGAGGGTGAGGTTTTAAAAAATTTTTTTAAAAAAGGGCCCGGAACCTATACAAAAAAATAATGAAAAAAGTTAAGAGTGACTTTCAAATCCAAAAGCAAAAAAGATTTTGATGAAATCTGCTTTGAACTCTGTCCATTTTTCACAATCTGTCTCCATAACTAAAAAAAAAAACTGCAATTTAACTAAGAACTAAAGAAAGAACATTTTTTTTTTTTAATTTCTTGGGGCTGGAGAGATAGCACAGCGGGTAGGGCGTTTGCCTTGCACGCGGCCAACCTGGGTTCATTTCCCAGCATCCCACATGGTCCCCTGAGCACCGCCAGGAGTAACTCCTGAGTGCAGAGCCAGGAGTAACCCCTGAGCATCACCAGGTGTGACCCAAAAAGCAAAAAAAAAAATTCTTTTCTTAAAAGAAAAATAAGTTTTTAAAAATTTCTTTTCTTGGGACTGGAGAGATAGCACAGCAGGTAGAGTATTTGCCTTTGCACGACCAGGGTTCAATTCCCAGCATCCCATATGATCCCCTGAGTACCACCAGGAGTGACTCCTGAGTGCAGAACCAGGAGAAACCCTTGTGCATGGCCGGGTATGACCCAAAAAGCAAAAAAAAAATTTCTTTTTTTTGGGGGGGCACTCCCAACAGTGCTTAGGCTTAAGATGTTCTTTTGGAGGGTTAGGGGGGCCACACCCAGCAGTGCTCAGGGCTCTAGACTCAGGCACTCCTCCTGGCGGTGCTCACTGGGACCATATGGGATGCCCGGGTCAGCAGCATGTAAGGCAAGTGCCCTTCCTGCTATACTATCCCTCTAGCCTCTCAAGGCTAAATACTGGCTCAGTGTGCAGAGGTTACTTCTGGCAGGGCTGAGGGGACAATGTGTGGTGCTGAGGATCCAACCCCAGTCGCCAGGCAAAAGCCCACCTGGCTGTCCTATCTCTCTAGCCCCTAAAATACCTTATTTGAGTTTGTTGTCTGGTGCTGGGGCTAAAACCCAGGGCTCTGATCCTACGTGAAAAACATGCAACCACTCACTCCACCCCCAGCCTCTTAATTACAATTTTCAAAGCTATGTTTGGTGGAAAAGGCTAAATACTAAGTTTGCTAGAAGACACCATTAAAACCAGCATCACTTAAGATCAAAATACTACCTTGCCAGGCTAGCTCAATCATATTACTTGACTTCAGAAAAATGACGGCTTGATCATTCAAGAGGGCAGCTCAATCCAAAAATGCGTAGTAAAAGGTTTTCAGAAAACCTGTTAAATGAAACTGGCAACCTTTATGTATAAATACCACACACGTGTTTAATAAACATTCTCATGCAGGAGCCTGGCCTTGATCTCCAGCACCTGTGGTCCAGAGTGGGGCCCCCAAACAAAGACATACCCTTGCAGAACACACGCAAGGGACAAAAAATCATAGGTCAGAAGGAGTTTTCACTTTATGCGCCTTCTTCCTAATTGGAGTTTCATATCGGGCATGTATTTGCCTTGCACGCTGCCGATCCGGGTTCGATCCCAGCATCCCCTAGGGTCCCCCGAGCACCGCCGGGAGTAAATCCTGAGTGCAGAGCCAGGAGGGACCCCTGGACATCGCCGGGTGGGACCCCCCCCAAAAAAAGAAATTCCCAGTCTCACCTACTCTTGCCGCGCTTCGGAGTCGGGGCAGAAAGGACTCGCGCTCGCCAACGTCCCAGCGTTTCCTCTCCCTCTGCAAGGAGAGTGAAATTGTCGATTCCCGGCCCCGGCGCCTCGCCCACGCGCGCGCGTCCCGGGAGACCCGTGGTCGCCGTGGCCGTGACCTGCCGGGCGCCCGGGCCGCGTGTCCGCGAACGCGCGGGGCGCGGCAGGGCGGGGGCTGCCTCGGGCGTCGGGGCTGGGCCGGGGACGCTCGTCACAAAGGACCCGCGGTAGGCGTCGGGTTGGGAGCACTGTTGGGAGTGCCCCCCCCAAAAAGAAATCGCCTCCCGCCCCCCGCCGCGCCCCGCGCCCGGACTCGACCCCCGCCCCGCCCCGCCCGTCCGGACCCGGGAGCCCCCGACCCCGTCACCCCCGGACCCCCATCAGTTACCTCCCGACCCGTCGCCGCCCGGTCTCCGGGCACCCCGGGCCTCCGCCCGGCACCCCCGCCCCCCGCCGACCCTCCACCGGACGCAGAAACTTCCCGGGCGGGACCCGAGACACCCGGACCCGAGCCCGCGCGTCCCATCACGCCCCCCCACACCCACGCACACACGCAGCCGCCCCCGAGCACGGGTCCGAGCCCGGGCGCGCCCCGCACCTCGCCGGCCCGAGCAGCCGCGCCCCGCACTCGCCCGCCCGCGGCTCCGACTCCGCAGCCCGCGCCCGCCGCCCGCGGCGCCGCCGGACCCGCCCCCCGCCCCCTGCGCGGCGGGTCCCGGGCGGGGGGCGGGGCCTCGGGGCCTCCGCGCGCAGGCGCAACGCCGGCTCCGTTCAACTGCGCCGCGTCGGCCAATGGCCGGTGAGCGCGGGACCCGCCGTTCGAAAGTCAACGGCCGGGCGCGCCGGGCGGGGCGAGGCGGGGCCTTCCGGGGCGGGGCCTTCCGGGGCGGGGTCTGGGCGTGGTCTCGGGCGCGGGCGGGGCTCGGCGCGGGGCTCCGGGCCGTGCGGGCGTCGGGTCCTGCGGGTCCTGGAAGACAGCTCTGGGGACAATGTGTTTCTTAGGGGCCGGCTGACTGTCGGCCCTTTGCGACCTTTGATCTTTGATCTTTGCGACCGGGATGATCTTGGTGCTGGAGGAGGGATGGGGGGTGCCCTGACCCCTCCCCTCCCCGGGGTCCTCTCGCCTCAGCCCTGGCTCCGAGGGCTCCGGGTCGCACCAGAACCTGTCCGTGGGGTGGGGCACGGCAGGGCCCTGGGGTGCCTTGAGGAGACCCCGTTCCAGGACTCAGGACCTGTCTCCTCTCCCCTCGCCCCGTGCACCCCATGTAAGACGCTGCTTAGCCCCCAGAAAAGTAAGGACGGGGTTGTCCTCGGGCGGGGGAAGGGAGGGGGTTGACATCTGGGGCTGTTTCTGACTCAGGAGTGAGCCCTGCGTTGCTGGAGGCCACAGGGTGTCAGAGATGCAAGACAAAGTACGACCTCTTGCCCCATCTCAGGGCCTTTCTTGAAGAACGTGATCCAGTTTCTCCCTGGGCAAACTCCTGCCAGCCTCCCCCACCCCAATCTGCTTTAATCGTCGTTCCCACTGCTGGGGGGGGGAGGGGATAGGGGGCAGGGAGAGCCTGGGACTTCCAGAGTTTACAGACAGACGGCCTCTTATCTCTCATCCACCCACCTCAGCAGAATACAGGGTTCTCCCAAGCAGGAGGCCCCGGACTTCAAAGTCTGCTCAGCCAGGCTGCGGCCCTGCTGACCAGGACAGGGACTTGGGGACAGAGAGCCTGGAGCAACTCCTTGGGTCCCTTGGGAATGGTCTGATAAGCACCAGCGATGGGATGGTGCAGGGTTCCCAGACTCTCGGGACTTGGCAGCCGGGGTGGGTGGAAGAGGCAAGCTGGAAAAACTTCATTTTTAGAGGAGGCACCTGATGCCTTTTTTTTTTTTTTTGCTTTTTGTGCCACACCCAATGGTGCTCATGGCTTACTCCTGGCTCTGTGATCAGGGGTCACTTCTGTCCTACTCGGGGAACCATATGAGATGCTGAGAATCAAAACTTGGGTAGGCTGCATGCAAGGAAGTAATTAATATGTTAAATAAAATATCATACAATTAAATATTATTATCATGAAACATAAATATGTTGCAATGTGTTAAATCACCCCCCTCCTGGCAGTTCTTGGCCAACTGGGCTTTGAAGTTGATTGTGAGGCCCAAGGAGATGGTCTTCTAGGCTCCTGCTGCGCCAAGGATATCCTGGTGGTCTTGGGGGCGTCCCAGGCCTCGGGGGTGATGCTCAAGGTCTAGAGGTGGTGCCGGGGGTCACTGGGGGACAGCTGTGTGCAAAGCACACGCTCCAGCTCGGGTGTTTGTTTCCTTGCCCCTGAGTCACTCACGCCATTTCATTCATCCAGACCCGGAGTGATAAAATCCACTGCTTATGTTGCCAGCGAGAGGCCGGCTCTGTGCCCGCCCTGGAAGGTGAGGACAGACAGAATGGAAACCCAGTCTGGGTTTCAGGACTCAGGACCTGTCTCCTCTCCCCTCGCCCCGTGCCCCCCATGTAAGACGCTGCTTAGCCCCCAGAAAAGTAAGGATGGGGTTGTCCTTGGGCGGGGGAGGGGAGAGGGGTTGACATCTGGGCCAGCAGGGCCGTCCCACACCTCTGCTGTCTGGAGCAAGAACCGAGGGCAGGAGCCCCTGAGAGGATCCCACAGCTGAAATCCTGACAGCCAGATTCAGATCTGGGGCAGCTCTGAGTGGGGTGAAGACCAGACGCACAGACCAGGCAGTACCCCTGGGGACTTCTCATGACCACAGCGGCCAACGCTGAATGTTGAGAGCCAGAGCAATAGCACAGCAGGGAGGGCGTTTGCCCTGCACACGGCAGACCAGAGTTTGATCCCCGGCATCCCATATGGTCCCCCCAGCACCGCCAGGAGTAATTCCTGCGTGCAGAGCCAGGAGTAACCCCTGTGCATTGCCGGGTGTGACCCAAAAAGCAAAAAAAAAAAAGAAGAAGAAAGGAGAGGCGGCACCAGACGCTGTGAGGGGATGGGAGCCTGGGTGGCTTGGAGGGTTCCCTTGGGGCACTGTGTGAGAGCTAAGTCTGGGAGGGCTGATGTCAAATGTTTGGAAACTAACTCATCGTCCAGAGGAAAATCACTCGCTGGGGAAGATCTTCACTCTGGCTGTGAGCTTCCCAGGTGAATGTTCTGGGCCTTGAGCCTGCGGTTGTAACGGGTTCAGCTGCTTCCGGGTGGCCCTCAGGGCAAAGCACGAAGCTTTGGGAGGGCCACACGTGGGCTTTGGAGGAACCAGCCAGATCAACCAAACCCCCCACCGCGTGGCCGTCCTCGGGGCGACCCTGCACTGCCAGCCGCCTTTCCGGCCCTCCTGCCGCATAGGACCGTCGTTGGCAAAAAGCAGGGCAGGACTCCGGTCTTTCTGAGCACAGTGCTCAGGCTTCAAATCCAAAACCTTTGTTTCTGGCAGTCTGGAGTCCAAGGCCTTCAGGCCTGACCGGAAACACACACTACACCCGGGTGCCTGAGAAGAACGAGCCAGCTCCTCCTCCTGGATGCCCTCCTGAACGGCTCTGCCTGCCGGGGGAGGGGTGGCGGGTAGCAATTGTAGACGAGACGCCTTTCCCCGCGAGACGCCTTTCCCCGCGTCTGCTGGACCCTCCTTTAATGAGCGATCATCCCCTCACAGACCGGGGTGTCCGTCCTCCCTGCAAACACCGCCCCTTTGATCCAGCCCGTGTGTGAGGAGCTACAGACGCCCTCGGCTGTCTCTGAAGCAGCTCTGGGGAGGGGCTGTGACCGTAACTGCGAAGCCCTGGGTGCTGGCCCCGGGGATTGCAACATGGTGACCTGGCTGGAGGCCCGGCTGGCCACGTCACCAGCAGTGCATGAGTGGCCCCGGACAAAGTCTGCTCTGTGGCTTCAAAGGCTGGGCCTGTTCCCAGGAGGCAGCAGGGAGGGAGGGTGGTGGGCTTGATGAGAAAAGGGCCCCAGAACTGCTGGGACACACAGACCTGGTGAGGACGATGCAAGGGGACAGGAAGAGGCCATGGCCTGGTGAAGCAAAGGCACTTCTGCAGCAACGGCCAGCCTCGGTGGCTGCCTCCGCACACACAGTTCCCAGGCGGGGAAGAGGAGGGGTGTACGCGCCCCCACAAGCAGCTCCTCTGACAGTGCTCTGGAGGGAGCCTATGTGGGCCACACGCCGGGCAAGTGCCTCTCCCAATGCGCTCTCCGGTCCACGCTGCTTTCGTGCTTGCCATGTGCAAACTTGCTGGGGCTTGCCGTCTGTCACCATCCGGGATGTTGACAACGTTTTAAAAACCACATGAGGGTGAGAACGTCACAGCAGCCTGGCCCGGGAGACAGAGCAGCTTGGCCCGGGGTGAAGAGGATGGAGGGAGGCCATGGCCGGCCAGCTCTGTGCCCTCCTTGGCAGCCCGACCGGGAGCGGGTGGCACTTCCAAGGAGGCGAGAAACTTCCATCCAGGGACTCTGGCTCTCAGCTATCAGAGGCCTCAAGACTTTGTGTTAGGGAAGCGTTGACCACCAAGGTGGGCTTCTGGAAGGAGGCATCCCACTGAGCCTGTTGCAAAGGTGCTGAAATAAGGTGCTGTGTGGTCGAGAGGGTCTTGCTGGCGTGGCCTGCTGCCAGGCCTTGAGAACAAAGGTCACAGTCTGAACCACCTGGGACGGAACAATGGCACATCTATGGCTCCCAAACAAAAGGGGTCTGTGGCCACAACAATGTTGGCAGCGACGGCCTCTGTGACGCTTCAGCCCATTGCCAACCCACCCTGCTGCCCGCCGGGCTGCCCTGCCAAGCCGGCCTCTCTGCCTGGGCCCGGCCCTGTGATGCGCACAAACCCCTTTTCCTAACAAAGGGGAAATGCCCTGCCGCAGAGGCAGGGTGGAATGGGGGTATGGGGGGTGGGAGGTGGGAGGGATACTGGGATCCGTGGTGGTGGAAAATGGGCACTGGTGGAGGGATGGGTACTCGATCATTGTATAATCGAAACCAAAGCACAAAAATTTGTAAGTCTACAACTGTACCTCATGGTGTTTC